ATATACATCTGTAAGAATTTAAACCTTTGATCATAACCTCATTACAGAGTAGAAATGCAAATGAAATTTGATCATTTTTCTGTCCCTAAAGCAGAGGTGCCCAAAGTGGGGCCCGCGGGCCAAATTTGGCCCGCCAAGCCATTTCATTTGGCCCACCAGCAGTTGTCCTGGTTACTAGGTTGTAATCGCCTGTCTTATGTAGAAATACTATATTTGCACTTAGTCTTTTCAAACATTTGTCCAACTATAGGTACAAGGAGCTGTAGTCAGTCTTATCTTATGGTGCTCACTTTATCTTTGAATTTTTTTAAGATTAAACTAAAAATACAAGTAACTTCAAGAAATATTTATGAGATTTAAGTCCATATCTAGATTTTCACATCTTAGACCACATATACTCAAATTTTAAATTATGAAAAGTCCCATGAGTCTTTTCTGCCTGAGCATACATTGAATTTTCTCCATGTTGTGGGCTGAAAAACAAACAAAATGTGGGCAACCACACTGGCTGCTAGCTTAATCATAAAAAATACAACTTTATTTGAAATATTTGCATTTCGTGTATTATATTATTGCATTTGGCCCACCACCCTCAGATTTATTTTAATTTTGGAACAGCTACAAGCTGCTGGACTTGAAGTAAAAGACTGAGCATGTTCAGATGTTTTTAGTTGCTCGGGTTTTAAACAGATTCATCCAGAAAGACGTCTAATCGTGGTCTTATCACTCTCTCCTGACATACATTTCTGTGGAGTATTAGCTCCAACATCTACAGGCTCCTTTAGAAAAGGACACTTCCTGTCTGACACTTTCCTCACAGCTAACAACTGAGACAAACTCAGGATTTGTTCAGTAATCCTGCTACAGAACAGGGTTGGTTCACAGAGAAAGTTGTGGGGGTAAGTTAACTCAGGATAACTATCTGGCTTTCTGAAACCCAAAACCCAGGATGTGCACATAGTTACCCCAGAACTTCATTCATCCTGCTGTCTGAAACTGGGCTCAGACTGAGGACAGAATATAAAGGGAAACTAACAAACTACAACAAAAAACACCTGGGAGACAAACTGGTGAGAGTGGGCGGGGCTAGGGCTGAGACAGGGAGGACGTAAAAAGAAAAAGAAAAAAAAACGTGACAATATCCACATAGAAACACAGTATAAACCTTAGAGGACTGTAAGAAAAATCAGACATGCAGTGATTTTCATTAGAGATTTTATTCATTTTTAGTGTCAATGTCGACAAATCATAAGTCATTACTTATTTGTGAAAGTTATTTCAAATGCACAAAATGCACACTCTGTTACTTTGACCTTTAAAGTTTCTTTGGGGGGAAATTAGCTTTATTTTAATTTCCATGTTAAAAAAAAAACTGGCTTCCTTTGTAAAATCTCCATCCCTCTGCTTTTGATGTTTATGTTAGACCACTAGGTGGCGCCCTGTTTTCACATTTGATGGACACTGTATTATTGTCAGGCAGGTTTCGAGGGTCATGAAAAATGATTTAAAAACAAGTCAAAATTTTAAAAAATGAATATTTAGTCAATTAAAACTTAATTGTGGAATTTTATAAAAAAAAAAACTCTTGAGCTAAAAACTCAATTTTATTTCAAGCGGATCTCATCCCCTAGAGCCCAGCCACCATGGAGGGTTTTTTAACTACTTCAGCGACCGCGGTCCCAGTTATGGACAGACCAACCTTGAAATCCCCAGACCAGGGGTGGGCAATCCTGGTCCTGGAGGGTCTCAGCTCTGCATGTTTTACTTGTTTCTCTGCTCCAACACACCTGATATGAATGAATAGATGATTATCAGGCTTCTGCTGTACGGAGGACCAACACTGACAATTAGAAATAAAAGCTGAATTAACTATTAAATAAATACACTATAAATAAATACACTATAAATAAATACACTTAAAGGCA